TAGTTCTTGGTCACGACTTATTATGTCTATTGAAGTACTTCCTGAAAAAGAATGTCTAACTGGTTCTTTAGGCCTAGTTAATTGACTTAATTCATTTTGCGTGCATTTATATCTTCCATATTTGGCATCTTTGTGATGTTTTTGGATCAAACTGGTTGCATTTTACATTATTTGGTGTTAGTGTGCAGCCAAGTGTGTAATAGGATCAATTGGAAGGCAAATTAAGTAAAAACACTCCTTTTGGTAGCTGAGCATTATTCCAAGCGTGGAGAGGATTCTGGGGAGTTAATTTGAAGTTCAAATGAGGAATCTAGGACTAATTTGGCTGCTGGAATTTCAGGAAAAGATGTGGAAGGAAAGTGGTGCAATTCGGCCATATTGGGTGGTTCTAAACAAAGCAAAAAAATTGGAGTCAGATTGGGTGGTTCCACACACCATGCCGTGCATTCCCTTACCTTTCCAGCTCCCTTTTGCATCTCCAGCACCAAAACATGCATTCCCATTAATTAAACCATTCAGCCACATTTATACCCACAACATGCCCATGCCGTGCACTTTCATACCCCTTTCCAGCTTTGTACAACCAATTCCAGGTTGTCCACTTCATCCTTGCAGCCATTCCACATGCATCTTCAATTAAATTAGCCACATGCATTCATATTTCCCTTGTGTCGTGCATCACCATCCCAGAAATCCACCCATCCCATCATCATTCACACAAACACAATCATTGCCGTGACTCCCCCTCCACTTTCCAGCATCACATTTCCAGCTTTGCACATGCATTCACTTAACCTAGCTGTCATGTTCCCTCTCCCATCCATTCATCTCCCTATAAAAACCATACTCACTTCACACAAGATACACTTCTTCTTGACTTCATTCCATCATTTCCCACACTCTAGCCGCTCCACCTCTGTCCATTTCCTCTCCCATTTGCAGAAACCATTCAACTCTAGCCGCTCCACCTTCATTTACAACACAATTGGAGAACCAACACCAAAGGCAACTCTTAAAGGATTTCGACATCAGTTTTGCTCCAAGGGTTTCTTCTCCTTAATTCTATGTTCACTCATGTTGTATATTTTTATGTCAAACTTTCTGTAAACATGAAGTGTGACTAATCTCTTTCTAGGGATTCGATGTAGCCTTGCAAGATTGCCATGTAGTTAATTCAGAATGCTCAGTTAATCCATCTATTTCTTGTTTCATTCTCTGATTTAATTGTGACTTGGTGTGTTGATTTTAATGTTTGATCACCAGTTGAATTAACCACAGGTTGTTTAGCCAAGAGTAAAGCACACATCATGCATATTCTTGGTGGATATGTGAATGAATGAAGGGAATGTTTTGCAAACAACCTGCCGAGTGTTTCCTTTGGTTTTATGAAAGTTTCTTGTGCGTGACACATTCTTGATTAGGAACCAAAGTTGCACATCACAATTAGGTTCATGATTAGGAACATTTGATCAAATCCACACATCATATGGTTGATCATATCTAAGTGAAACAAACCCAAGAAAGAGGTAGATGGCTGAGTATAAACTGACTTAACAAACATGGACTTGGCTTAGCAACGGTGAAACCGAATCCCTAGCTTCATCTCCATTGGTGCTATCCCATTTTATTAGTTGTTGATTCATTTATTTGTGTTTACTTCAATTTCTTGTGTTTTCAAGTTACAACAACAAATCTGCCTAATTTGATTAGTTTTATTTCTCTAATAGAGTTCTTACACAACAAGTAGTTGTATAGGTTCAATTAGTCCCTGTGGATTCGACACCCTTACTTGTGCCATTATACTAAACATATTTTAGCACTAGGAAGGAACACAACAACAAAAAATGGCGCCGTTGCCGGGGACTGATTTCAGTCCCTTATAATTGCTTGTTTTGCTATTAAACCTTGTTCTTTTCATTTTAAGTAGATTTCTGATTTTTATTCAAACTTGTTTTATCTTGTTTCAGGTAGTATATGTCAAATACACTTGCTGAATTAGGCCAAAGAATTGAACGGTTAAAGGGCAACAATTGGGACAGCTTTGTTCCAACAAGTTCATCCATTGTCCGTGAAGAAGAGGAAGAGAAGTCGTCTAGTTCAACAAGTGAAGGATCTGAGCACGTTAATTGGGAAAGAGAAGAAGAGATGGTGGGCAACCAAGATGAGCTTCGAGCTTTGGAGGACTTTGCTCAACCAATCATAACAAACTCACCTTCATGCATCTTGCTGCCCACAGAAGCTAGAAACTATGATCTTAAATCTTCACATTTCCATATGCTTCCTTCTTTTTATGGCTTACCTAATGAAGATCCTTTAGCTCATATTAAAGAATTTTACAACGTTGCGAGTGGTTTACCTTTACAGGGAGTAAGTGAAGCAAATCTGAGGATGAGAGTGTTCCCTTACACCTTGAAAGATAGGGCTAAGGGTTGGTTGATGACTCTAGTACCTGGTTCACTCACCACGTGAATCAGTTGCTGTTGGTGAAGTTGGATCTTCTTGAGTTTGGATAGTTTTAGTTTAGGTTTTGTTTTTGTAGCAAAGGTGAGTAACTTGGGAGGTTGTTCTAACTGATTTGAGTCTCATATCTACTAAATCATTAATTAGTTCTTGGTCACGACTTATTATGTCTATTGAAGTACTTCCTGAAAAAGAATGTCTAACTGGTTCTTTAGGCCTAGTTAATTGACTTAATTCTTGAAGTTGGATGCTCAACTTTCTAGCTAGAGTGTTGAAATTAATTTATCTGTACCATCAAATTATTGTTCTATGTTGTCTAGATTGACAAAGTTGTTTTGAATATCAACTGGTTTACTTTCATTAATTAGGAACCAATCTAATGGTGGGCTAATGTCTGACCATTTAATGGTTCAACGTATTTTGATATTGGCATTTTCTTAATTACTTTGGATTAATAAAGTGTGTTCTTTGAGACTCTTGGCTATGGTTCGGAAGTTCATGTTTGTACCCGTGCACTTGTAATAGGCTCTAAAAATTAGAGCTAATGGTTGGGCACCTTCCAAGACTTGATAACTAGAAGTTTTTATGCTTAATGTGAGTGCTTTTAACATATGGATCTGTTAGCCTTACGGTGAGGGCTGGAAAACAATCGAAATGGATTGGTCCATTGTATAGGCTTGACTCGATCATTTCAAGAATGCTATCACTAAAGTTAGTGAATCTTGCATCTCAGAGACATAACAGGATAAAGGTGTTGAGCATATAGGTGAAACCTATCCTTAGGACGAGCACAGTCACTCGAGGCTTGGGGGCTACGACCTTTCAACATACTAGTGAGTGGGCTTTTGGTTTTCCTTATATACCTATATACTTGTGGTTTTTCCCAGAAAATGAAATTGAGCGTTTATATTTTTCAAAATACCATGCATAGTCTTTGCCTATTTTATTTATGCATTAGTAGTTGCATATATTTATGATTGGTGTTGCGGACGCACAGGTAAGTGCCAGGTACGTTTATAGTTTATGGTTGTGAATTAGTAGTTATGTGAGATGCATTAAGAGCTCATAAACCTGCACCCTGGTGTTAGTGCTCCCGCCCAGAGTAGGGCACAGTCCTTCATGTGATGTTCACCTCCCACACCACACGCTCATCTTGGATCCAAGTTAGGTGCACAATCCTGTCGTACATACCACTTTAGGTGGTTCCAACTCGTAGGTGACCCGCAATTATTCGCACAGTCTTCACGTGATCGTAGCACTTTTATTTACATCCAGTCTTGTCGTATAGACCATTTTAGGTAGTTCCGACTCGTGTGCAGGTATAGTTGTTGAGATGTGGATTTGAGCTCTAGATTCCGTACAGGTCATGTTAGGTGACTCTAGCTAACATATATTCTGCATCGATTGACATTACCTGGGTTACCTACATCATATGTTGAGTTAGTTGACGTGGCTTGCATACATACATATTTGTGAATGTTGCTACTCTAAGCATAGTTGTGATATATTTATATATTCTATTTTCTGGGAAATTATACAGGTTTTACGGAGAAGGGTTAGAACTTTTGAGAATGAAATGATTTTGAAAATCTTTGTTATTACCGACTCACACTGCGCCCCTCTAGGTTCTAGTTAGAAGCGCTTTGGTGGCTCACAAGAACTTTGACGGTGGTTTTGACAAAACATCACAAATGTAGGATCACCTTTGGGTGTTATGTAATTTGTATTCGTCCTACTAGACTGCATTTAGGCTTTCTGTGCTCTGATTATTGTTTATCACACTTAGTCTTACGCTTGCGTATTACTATAACTAGCTTCTATAGTAGTTTGGTTTTTATTTATTCGTACTTTTATTATTATTTTTGCTTCCGAACTGTGCACATGGCTACGTTACCCTCATGTAACGGCCAACACGCCTTGATTTCGGTCGGGGTGTGTTAGCTATTTTTTAGCCCCCTAATAATTAATTAGTTGAAGTTTGTTCTTTAATTTTATTGGTTAATTAAACTACCATATTAAAATAAGGTTTTGGGATCACATTTTGAATGCCACTTATTGCTAAATGACTAAGCGGTAAGAGAGGGGTGAAAAAAATTAAAGGAAAGATTATTGGAAGAGGTAAGAGAGGGGTGTGTATGAAAAGAAGTGTTTGAGGTGAATAGAATGTGAAGATTGAAATAAAATGAGGTAAGATAGTATGGAAGAGTGAAAAGGATGTGAGAAATGGTATAGAAATGTTTTAAGTATTTATAAAAATAAAAAAAATTAGAATTTTTAATTTCATCTAAAACAAAAAATTTCCAGCTACGCCCAATCGAGAGGGCTGGATTTTGGCTCGGTGGGTTCCAAGAGTTTTTACCCCAAACCTCCATTGGAGATGAGTTTTGTGTCAAAAAGGGCTATCCATTGGCCTATGGCCCTATGGATGGCTCGGTTGGAGACAATCTTTGTGTAAATAATATTATTTGTTAAAAAATAAGTGTAATTCAGATTCACTGTATGTAGTATGTCACCTTGTTTTTCATGGTCATCTCTCAAATATGACTCTCGATGAAATGGTTGAAAAAACACAGCTCAAAAGTGAAATTTCTAATGCATTAATTATTTTGGACTTCCTAGAATTCTTCCCCTCAGGCCTTGGAAATGCACTTGTGGAAGCAACTGAGAACATAAATAGGCTGCTTGACAACCTAAACATATCACCATGGTCGCTGTCCGGCCGTGTCAAAGAGCAAAACGATAGCTACAAACTGCGGTACGATGTTCCAGGGCTTGCCAAGGAGGATGTGAAGATCATTGTGCATGACGGGGTTCTGGAGATCAAGGGAGAGCGCAAAGACGAGGACGAGGAAGGGTCGGATGATGAGTATATTGGTCATCAATGAGCTATGGTTACTATAGCACAACTCTCAATTTGCCTGATGATGCCAAAGTTGATGATATAAAGGCAGAGTTGAAGGATGGGGTGCTGAGCATTACCATTCCTAAAACTGACAAGCCTAAGAGGGAGGTGAAGGAGGTCAATATAAATTAATGTCGCAATCTGATGATCGAAAATTATTATTTGTGTGAGAGTGTGTGTGTGCGCTTTTGTGTTCGTGTTGAGATGAATGTCTATCTGTTCTTGTGGAAAGACCTATGTTTGAAGAGTAGAGCTAAATAAACTCATGCGACGACTCTTAATCTTAAAGTAGCCTTTGGAATAAATACAACTTAATTACTTCTCTTTCAGATGAGAGGTACTTAAATGCATTTTCTTGCACCATTACTTTTCTCCATAGGTAGAAAAGATTTATAGCGTTTAGCAAGTCCAAGTATTGTTCACATGAGGATTCTAATTCAATCTCTAATTTGATAAACTAAACCAAATCTAATTATATTAAAAACACACAAACCCAAAAATACAAACCCAAACAACAAACTAGACTCGATCTTAATTAATAATTCAATCAAAGATGTGAAGAGTTTGTTGTGATGATTTTATAAACGAACAAAAACAGAACCTTATAAAAACTAAAATTAAAGAGAAGAAAACGTTGTGTTTTAAGGCAAGTGATGAAAAAGTCTAGGGATTCGGAATCAGCCACAAGCAATCTAATTTAGGTTTCAATGCATTCAATGGATCTTTCAATTATTTAGATGATAATTCCCGTATCTAAGTCCTTGTTAGGCATATTAGACCATAGTTTTCCTTAAGTGAATGATTCTCTCCTAGTTTAGGCAGAGATCGTATATCCTAACATGCAGTCTATCCTAGTTAAGGCATAAATTTAACAAGTATGACTCTTTACACTCTAGAAAACAAGGGAACCAAGCAAACCATTATTCTTCATCAAGCAATAATGTAATTTACCACACTTAACCACAAGAAGCTAATTGAATTATATTGCTAGTTCAACCTCAAATTCATCTTCCAATCTTACTAGATGCAAAGTCTTAAGGTGATCAATCAAAGAACTCAAACAAAAAGTAACAATTCAAACAGTGATTAAGCATTCATCTAAAAGAAACTAGAAATCCAATGAATAACATTAAAAACCATAAATATCCATGCTAGGGCATCATCCTAACCCTAGAAAAAGAGTTTAGTTACACATAGAATACGAAAACATAATTAGGAATCTTAAGAACATGAAAAACTTATGAAAGATGAAGATGGAATAACAAAGATGGTCGGTGGCTGCTCCTTCTTCCAAAAACATGCAGAGAATACTCCCAAGGTTTTTAGCTCCTTGGACTCCCTTTATACAGTAGACAAATCCTAACATAATTAGGTCTTGTGATATCCTTTGTATTGCATGATTGATGATATGGCGAATCAACTTCCCATTTATTTACTTCAAACCCATTTGAAATAGGATTAAAATCAGCTCAGCACGTTCTATCTTGGGCTTTGGGCTTCGACTGAATGAAGACTTGAAAAACCCAACAGACTTTGCAATTTCCGCGTAGACTTGGCTGACCGATGTCTTGTATGAAAATCTTCATAACACCATTTAGGAAACTCGGAATCATGAACCGTAAAGTTCCTCTGAAAGCTAACTTCCATATCTTTCTAATGGTCCAAGGCTCAACAGCTGGTTCATTCTGAGGAAGTACAGTTTAATCCGTAAAGTTGGGTGATCTGCACAAGCAGCTTCTGCTTCCAGCATGCCAAACTCATTTCAATAGCAAAAGTGCTTATTTTTCTTCTTTCTTCCTCTTCACTCATCAAATCTAAGAAAAACATAAAACTAGTGAAACAAACTAAATTCACTACAAATCATAACAAGAATCTAAATTAAAGGGCATTAAAATGTCTGCAATATTGGTCGTATCAAATACCCCCAAACTTAGACTTTGCTTGTCCTCAAGCAAACACAACAAAGACTCAAGATTAAATTTAAACAAAACACAATGCAGTTAGACTTTCCAAATATATTCCTCAAAGATTACAGGGAAAATACAGCTCAAAGAATAGAGAAACATTGTAAGGATTCTACACATGATTCAAAAGTTAACAACACCTTGCACAACCATTCATCCGGTACGTGTATGACTAGCCAATAATTAGCACAACACTTGCAATTCGGATAGGTATATGCAAACAAATGTAATATGAGTGATCTCTGGATAATGAATGTATTGAACCCCATAGGCTTGCTCTTCATACCATCTCTCCACTAATGTAAATCAATGTAACACCAAAGATCAAATGGACTTTACAAAGGTTGTAACGTTAGGCTAGGTTATTGGCTATGAAAGAAAGGATAGGGAAAAACTAGAACCTGAGATATACCAAGACTTCTTCATACGTAATTCAGTCGAGCCTCTTTTGAAATATGATTCTTGGCGTCTAGGACTCATGTTGTAGGAATAGAACAATTTCAAACTTTTTTCTTTTTTTACTTCGCTTTTTTTTTTTTTTTGCAAAATTGAGTAGTAATATGACACCTGGTACCTCGGTACATGCCGCATCTTTGATGTACACTCAACCTTTATCACTGTCTTCATCATCTTGGTATTCATCTCAAGCTATAAGGTGTGGCTAATATAGGTTAAATGGGTATAGATTAATGTGGGTGATGAAAGAAAGGCTAAGTGTTTGGCTTCAAAGGGCTAACTAAGGATAACATAACATAAAGGGTTAAGTAGAAAGGCTCAAACAGTCTAAAGATGGCCAAAATCATCTCCCTAATGTTACATGATTTAGGATTTCACCTCGAGAGATATTGAAACAAGTTCTAGTGTTCGTTGAGATCTTAATGATTACTTAATCTGCATATAATTCTCTTAAGTAAGCAACAATTGCATTAACCTTGGCTAAGTGCATGAGAAAGGTGTAAAGAATGATCTTATAAAGCATGGCTAACCAAAAAAAAAAAAGAAAAACAACTAACAAGAACCAAAATTAAAAAGAAAAACTTTGAAAACTCAGACTTCCAAGTTATGATAATCAGTTTCAGACCTTTGCTTGGTTTTTGACGTGTATTTCACAAAATACAAGGCAGAATTACATGTTCTTTATATGGTTGGATTCAGAACGGAAAATTGAAGAGAATCGTTAACCAAAACTCAGAAACAGCAACAGACCGTTCCAGAATTTAATAAAACAGAGAGCCTATGTTTACTGACACAAAACAACTAACTGAAAAACTATCAAAATGAGATCCCTCCCCCAAACTTGAATAGCGCATTGTCCTCAATGTGAAGTGAAATAAAAGGCATGCACTGAGTTAAACAAATAAGGAAAAGTATAACTGACTAAAAATAATCAGAAAAATAAAGAGTAAACTTTAGAACTCCCCTGGTCATGATGAAGTCCACTCTTAAGCACACAGCAAGTTCCATCTTCCTTCTTCAAAAACTTGGGTTGCCTCCTAAGAAGCGCTAAGTTTTAAGTCTTCAGCCGGACATAGCAGTCTTTATTTAGGATCATTGAGGTACAAAACCTCCTCATTCATTTGTGGGACAGGTTCCAGGTATTGCTTCAAACGATGGCCATTCACCTTAAATGTCAAACCATTCTTCATATCTTGAATGTCCACAGCACCATGGGGATACGCTTGCACAACGAGATAAGGTCCAGTCCATCTAGATCGAGGCCTAGTGGGAAATTACTTGAACCTTGACTTTTTCCACAAAACTTTTTGTTTTGGTTCAAAATATTTCCGAAGTAGAGCTTTGTCATGAGCAACCTCGAACTTCTCTTTCATTCGATTCATAACATCCTGCACAGTCATGGTGAGTAAACGAGCTTTTACACCAATTTTAGTACCTGCAGTAGCCATGAAAGGTCTACCAAGAATGAGAGGTAGCTCATTGCCTGGAATTTCAGCTTCTTCCATGTCCAAAACAATGAAGTCAGCAGGGAGAATGAACTGATCAACCTTGACAAGTACATCTTCAATAATGCCCATTGGATATTTCACAGAATGATCAACAAGTTGCAAAGACATGGAACAAGGCTTTAACTCCCCCAAACTTAGATGTTTGTACACAGAATAAGGCATAAGATTGACACTTGCTCCCAGGTCAAGTAAAGCTCGTTCAAATTTTCTTTCTCCAATAATGCACGGAACTGTAAAGCTTCCTGGATCCTTGAGTTTTGGTGGCAATTTTCGTTGAAGCATTGCACTTACCGTTTCTGATAACATCACCTCTTCATGTTTTCCATACTTTTGCTTGTGAGTACACATTTCCTTCAAGAATTTTGCATATGATGGAACTTCTTTGATGGCTTCAAGCAATGGAATGTTGATTTGAACTTTCTTGAATTGGTCCAATATATGCCCCGGATACTGATCTTTTCTTCCCTTCTGTGCACGCTGAGGGAATGGTAAAGGATGATCATACACCACATCCTTAAGTGTTGGATCAAATAAAATTCTTTTTGGCTCAGATGGTGGCTGTTTTGAACTTTTAAAAGAATTATTATGCTGCTGGTCATTCATATCTGTTCCCCTCTCCTTCTCCTTTTCAACTTTCTCATGCTTCTCTACTTTGTTGTCGATCATCTTCCCACTTCTCAAGGTTGTAATGGCCATCACATGCTCATTATTTCTTGGATTAATTTATGTTTGGCTTCGAAATTGCCCTTGTGCTCACTCCAATTTGTTCAAAGTAGTAGCTATTTGTCCTAACTGAATCTCAAAATTATATTGAGCCCTTTCCAACACCGCATGACAAGCGATACAACTTCTTGTTCATACCGGTCGGTTTTCTTGAAGAGTTGAGATAGCATGTCCTTGATAGAAGGGTCTTCTTGTTGAGTTGGAGGAGCTTGATAAGGCTGCTGATATTGCTTTGTTGAATTGGATGGTCCCATGGTATTTTGCGAATCTCTCCAAGAAAAATTCGGGTGTTCTCTCCATCCCAGGTTATAATTATTGGAGTACGGATCATTTCGGGGCCTCCCACTAAATGCATTGACCTCTTGTATGCTTTCTAGATTAGGATTTGCTGGACAATTTTCCATGTCATGGGCGATGCTTGCACATAAGGTACATGGCTGCGTGGCTATCTTGCTTACTAGCAGTGTGAGAAGCTTCGTGAGAGCTGCCACTTGTGCCTCTAATTAAACCTGTCCTTGCATCTACTTCATAAAGGCCTTCTCTTTTTGTTGATGATGTAGTTGGAACTCTCAAATCTTTTGTAGGAAAATTCCCATGCTCATAATTTTCACATATAGTTTCGAAGGCATGTATGGAGTCTTTTGGAGTTTTGTCCATCAAGGTTCCACCAACTGTTGAATCAACCAAACTCCTACATTGAGAGTTCAAAACTTTGTAAAAATAATGAACCTTCTGCCAAGTGTTGAAACCATGAAGAGGACATTGAAGAAACAAGTCCTTATATCGCTCCCAACTTTCATGAAACTGTTCACCCTCTTGTTGGCGATAACTCGTAATTTCATTGATCAAAGTATTGGTTCTCCGAGCAAGGAAGAATTTGGACAAGAAATTCTAGGATAAATCTGTCCATGTGTCAATGGAGGCTTCAAGGAGGGAATCCAACCAGCCACTTGCTTTATCCCTCAAAGAGAACGGGAATAAATGAAGTCGAATTTGTTCCTCCCTAACATTGGTAAAGGTGAATGTCGAGCATAGCTTGAAGAACGCCTTGATATGATGGTACGGATTTTCCTCCTCCTTCCCATAAAACATAGGCAACAGTTGAATTATTTGTGGGCGAATCTCGAATTGCTGCGCAATGGGGGCCAATACAATGCACGACGGCACGTCGTACTTTGTTGGTTTTGTGTAGTCACGCATAAGCCATGGTTGTGGGGGTGGCAATGGTGGAGGATTGTCTCTACCATTATTGACTACTTCCCCCATGGCTGGTTCTTGAAACACTCGCTGTCTCCGCTGTTCTCTTAAAGTATGCTCAAGTTCTTGATCTATTAGACTCAACTCAAGTTGCAACGAACGTCTACCTTGCATATACGATCAGACTTTGCTCCTTGTTTTACTACTGCTCGGTATTTTACGCAGCTTAAATATCCAATCGTTGATCTATTTTTTTGGGTTGAAAACTAGACTTCTGGGGCTTTCCAACGATATAAAATGTGCCTGGTAATAGATCGAATGGTTCAGTCCAAAACTGTGTCGAAACAGTGATGCAAAAACTAACATAAAACAGTGACGAAAATTTACTTTTACTTATCTTAATAGTTATGACTCTTATTTGAAAATAGAGAACAAAACAAAATCAAATTGAATAAACTACAATAAACGACTTATTAGATATGGAATAAGATATCAAGTTGCGGGACACAATTAGAGTCCCCGGCAACGGCGCCAAAAACTTGGTGTAAACTTGCAAGTGCACAAGATAGTCGTAATATAGCATTTAGCAAGTCCAAGTATCGTTCTCACGAGGATTCTAATTTAATCTCCAATTTGATAAAGTAAACCAAATCTAATTATATTAAAGGCACACAAACCCAAACAACGAACTAGACTCGATCTTAATTAATAATTCAATCAAAGGTGTGAAGAGCTTGTTGTGATGATTTTGTAAACGAACAAAAACAGAACCTTATATGAAAACTAAAATTAAAGAGAAGAAAACATTGTATTTTAAGGAAAGTGATGAAAAAGTCTAGGGATTTGGAATCAACCACAAGCAATCTAGTTTAGGTTTCAATGCATTCAATGGATCTTACGATTATTTAGATGATAATTCTCGTATCTAAGTCCTTGTCAGGCACATTAGACCATAGTTTTCCTTAAGTGAATGATTCTCTCCTAGTTCAGGCAGAGATTGTATATCCTAACATGCAGTCTATCTTGGTTAAGGCATAAATTTAACAAGTATGACTCTTTACGCTCTAGAAAACAAGGGAACCAAGCAAACCATTATTCTTCATCAAGTAATAATGTAATTTACCACACTTAACCACAAGAAGCTAATTGAATTATATTGCTAGTTCAGCCTCAAATTCATCTTCCAATCTTACTAGATGCAAAGTCCTAAGGTGATCAATCAAAGAACTCAAACAAAAAATAACAATTCAAACAGTGATTAAGCATTCATCTAAAAGAAACTAGAAATTCAATGAATAACATTAAAAACCATAAATATCCATGCTAGGGCATCATCTTAATCCTAAAAAAAAGAGTTGAGTTACTGATAGAATACGAAAACATAATTAGGAATCTTAAAAACATGAAAAACTTCCAAAAGATGAAGATGGAATAACAAAGATGGTCGGTGGCTGCTCCTTCTTCCAAAAACATGCAAAGAATCCTCCCAAAAGAACCCACCCCCCCCCCCCCCCCCCTTTTTTTTTCTCGTTGGACTCCCTTTATATAGTAGACAAATCCGAACATAATTAGGTCTTGTGATATCCTTTGTATTGCATGACCGATAATGTGGCGAATCAACTTCCCAATTATTTACTTCAAACCCATTTGAAATAGGATTAAAATCAGCTCAACACATTCTATCCTGGGCTTTGGGCTTCGACTGAATGAAGACTTGAAAAACCCAACAGACTTTGCAATTTCTGCGTAGACTTGGCTGACCAACGTCTTGTACAAAAATCTTCATAACACCATTTAGGAAACTCAGAATCACGAACTGTACAATTCCTCTGAAAGCTAACTTCCATATCTTTCTAATGGTACAAGGCTCAACAGCTGGTTCATTCTGAGGAAGTACATTTTAATCCGTAAAGTTGGCTGATCTGCACAAACAGGTTCTGTTTCTAGCATGCCAAACTCATTTCGATAGCGAAAGTGCTCCTTTTTCTTCTTTCTCCCTCTTCACTCATCAAATCTAAGAAAAACATAAAACTAGTGAAACAAACTAAATTCACTCAAAAACATAACAAGAATCTAAATTAAAGGGCATTAAAATGTATGCAATATTGGTCGTATCAATTACTCACCGACATGATTGGAACTCACGCCATTATGTCTGGAATCAACACTTTTCCACTACCGTGATAAAGGAGCCACTTGCCTCCTTTCTCTTCCTTTCACTAAATCCAATAAATTATTAGGTCTCGTTTGACACGGATTCTTATGAACTGGAATCCTATACTGGATCTTGGGTCTGTCCTGAAATATCTCAAGTTGGATAAAGTAGTATCCTACGTTTGCTCAGTGCCCGAAAGCTTTTATCTTGCGAACCCCCTTGCACGCGTTGCTATCCCTTCACTTCTGGAGATTGAAAAAATTATAGCCGAGGCTGAGACTATAGAGATGAAAAATAATATTTTGGAGAGCTAAAACATAGCAATCCACCCTCTTTAGTCCTTCAAAACTGAAGGACAAATATTCGTGTATGATAAAAAATAATTTTTTGGAAGGCTAAAACATAGCAATCCACCCTCTTTAGCCCTTAGACCTGGCAATTTATTACACAACCCGTTAACACAACAAGTAAACGACACGAAAATAACGGGTTTTGGATCAACACGATAACTAATTGGGTCATTATCAGGTCACATGATAATAACCCATTAATAACGGGTCTTGAACAGGTTTACACAAGAGTGACATGCGGGTAACCTGTTTCGACACGATAAGAAAAAAGTTATTTTGATGATTTTAATTTTTTAAACTACTAAAAAAAACTTACTATAAAATACAATACATATAATGAATATGTATATATTGTTTATTAATTATTATTCTATTATTACTAGCCTCTCCGCACGCTCTCATGCGCATGCGAGAGGCATTTTTGCATCACAGGCGCTACGCGCCCCAAAGATGTGTTGCTTTAGATATTCATATATTTCTTAAGTGATTACTGAAAATAAATAAGATCTCATTGCCAAAGGAGATGGCTTCGTCCAACTATTTAGGCAAAAACTTAACTATAATTGAAATCGAGAGACTCAAAAAAGAGAGATTCTTCTCCTGAATTGCAAATAAAGTACGTGCGGAGATTTATTGGTTCTGCACCAAAACCTATTGCTCATTGCCAAAGGATCAACTAAAATGTAATCGGGCACTCTCACACATGCAAGAGACCTTCTTAAGTGATTACTAAATATATTTTTAGTTTGGTATTAAGTACTCTTTACTTTTGATTTTGGGTCCCCTTTTATTTCTTTGGTTTCAACAACTATTTGTTTTATTTTTTGTGCGTTTGGCAACTGGCATGTGGTTGGCATTCACCATTTTAAATACAAAAAATGAAAGAAAATTCATGAAAACTGAATAAACAACGTGACAACCCGTCCCTAGTTCTACGATTTATAAATTTTAAAAGAACTAATTTACGAAAATGCCCTAGAGGCAAGGACTTTGACTCCCGTTGACGATCGGTTAGAGAGACATATGACTTATTCTTTTAGCATATCCTCGTAGTACTGTATGAACGCATAAGCAAAAGCCGTTTGCGAGTCTGGATTATATCAGTATAGTTACAGACATTTAAAATTGGTTATTTAAAGTTTAGTCATAAATGAATGGGTAAAGTACAAAAAACTACCTCAACTATTGGTATCACGACATTTTCATAACTCATCTTTTAAAATTGACAATGTCATACCTCATCTTACAAATTTGTGTCAATGTTATACCTT